ATAAAAGCTGGTCCTTCGAGCCGGATCGGAAGCCCCATAGAGAATCACTCGAGGGCAGTGCACATCACAGAGTCGTGCGCTAGAGATCACAACCATGAACCAACAACTCGAGATGCAGCTGTCGCTGTTCCATTCCGTGTCAAGGGCGCTTGACAACTTTAAGAAAATCGGGAAGAACAATTTTACTCCCGCGAAGATACGGTCGAGAATGACATCGCTGAAAGAGACGTGGCATCAGTGCCAGCTAGGGCACGCCGCGCTCTTGAATCTTTGCTCCGGAGCCGAGAGGAAAACCACCCCTTACTTCCAGGAGGGTCAACTAGATGCACACGAGGACATCTTCCAGACGGCGCTGGACTACATGGCCGATCAGCTCGAGATACTGGAACCAAGCGTGAGCCCGAACCGAACCACCGAACAATTTTCGTTTTCGCGATCCGAGACATCCGCGCTCTCGTTACAGCATCTTCCGCCTATCCAACTCCCTCCGTTCTCCGGCGACGTAGTCGAGTGGGAGACCTTTCGAGATCGCTTCACGTCCCTAATTATCGATAACAAAGACATATCCGATTTTTCGCGAATGCATTTTCTAGCATCGAGCCTGACCGGTCGCGCTCGCGATACAATAGCCGGAATTTCTGTAACCGCCGATAATTTTAAAACCGCATGGGACGCCCTTGAAGCTCGCTACGAAAATAAGCGGAAATTGATCGAAACGCACGTGGCCTCTCTGTACAATCTCCCATCGTTAACCCGCGAGTCCGCCGCGGATCTACACGCGTTGCGCGATCAAGCTGATCGCGCGAAGTCCGCTCTGGAACGGCTCGATCGAACCCCTGAAGAGCTCTTCAACGACATACTAGTGTATTTCGTATCGCAGAAATTAGACCCCGCTACAAAGCGAGCGTGGAAAATAAAGTGCTGCTCAGACACAGCAAATCCGTTACCTACGTACGACGGTCTGAAAAAGTTTCTGAGCTCGCGAGCTGTCGCGCTCGAGGAAATCGCGCCTGCCGCGAGCGCGAAGACTCGGATCGTAAAATCACACAACGTCGCCGCCGCGAAAACAAAAGAAATCGCGTGCTCGTTGTGCAAGGGCACACATTACTTAAGTAAATGTCCGAAGTTTCTGAGTAAGAGCTCAATTCAAAGACGCGAATTAATCAAACAGACAAACCGTTGCTACAATTGTCTGAGCGCGAAGCACTCGGTGAGCGAGTGTACAAGCACGTTCACCTGTCGCATGTGCCAACAGAAGCATCACACGTTGTTACATAACGACTCGGTCTCTTCCTCGAGCGCCACGCAAGCGACGGATCAATCCGGCGGTACCGCGCCGAGCGGAGATTCATCCACCGCCTCGCAAGTTACCGCTATGACTTCCACTACCGTCGCCGCTGATCCCACGCCAGTTTTACTCGCGACCGCCGAGGTCACCGTACGTTCGCGAAACCGCCAAACCGAAGCCGTCAGAGCCCTGATTGACCAGGGTTCCGAAGTCACTTTCATGAGCGAAAAGCTGGCTCAACTTTTACGGGTGACTCGCACCCGTACTCGCACCACCATTTCCGCAGTCGGGGGCGCGTTTGCCGGGGTCTGCCGACACGCGGCTTCGATAATTATTTCACCGCGCGAAAAAGATAAACCGGAGTTTCGGACTCTCGCATTCATTCTACCATCGCTCACCAAATACGCCCCGCGTACGGAAACTTCCGTCTCTAACTGGAGTCACTTAGAAAATATTCACCTCGCGGATAGCCACCCCACGGGATCGCGTCCGATCGATATCATTATCGGCGCCGATCTATACGGCGACCTCATAATGAGCGGCGTCCGTAAGGGGCCCAAAGGCCAACCAATAGCTCAGCAATCGCATCTCGGTTGGCTCCTTTCCGGGCCAACGATGAATCGACCGTTTCCGCGTCAAGAGATTCGAGCGTTTCACTGTTCTCTCGAACGGGAGATTCGCAGATTTTGGGAGGTCGAGGATCTTCCACACCACGCGACACTCTCGCCAGCCGAGAAGCAGTGCGAGAATCATTTTCGACAAACGCATACGCGAGCGGAAGACGGGCGATACATTGTTCGATTGCCGTTCAAATCCCAAGCCCCCGTCGATATGGGCCGCTCGAGAGCAGTGGCGTTGCAGCGATTAAATTCCCTGAGACGGCGCCTCGATCCGTGCCCAGAAATGAAGAAGGAGTACTCCGACTTTCTCGCCGAGTACGAGAGTCTCAAGCACATGACGAAGGTCGAGCCTCCGTCGTTGACGATATCAACGGCCGTGTATATCCCTCACCATCCCGTAATTCGCAATTCTAGCTCCACGACCAGATTGAGAGTCGTGTTTAACGCATCGAGTGTCACATCGAGCGGAACGTCTCTCAATTTACACCTCCACGCAGGCCCAAAGTTGCAAACGGATCTTACGGCCGTCCTACTTCGATGGCGTACATATCGCTACATCTACAGCGCGGACATCGCGAAGATGTACCGACAGATCTGGATCGATCCTCGCGATCGGGATTATCAGAGAATCTTATGGCTGAATCCGGAGAGTTCCGACGTGCAGGATTACCGACTTAATACCGTGACCTACGGGACAGTATCAGCTCCATTTCTCGCTCTTCGCGTGCTCAATCAACTTATAAAGGACGAAGGCGACCAATTTCCCCTCGCGGTTTCGATTCTCACCGATAATATTTATGTCGACGACGTTCTGTTCGGTGCCCACTCCATAACTGAAATAAAATTAGCTCGCGCTCAGCTTTGCGATCTCCTGCTCCGAGGAGGTTTCACGTTAAGAAAATGGGCGAGCAATCGAGCTGAATTACTCTCCGATATTCCGTCGGACGATCACGGTCTAGCGTGTAACCGTGACCTCCAGATAGACGAAAGCGTCAACATCCTCGGAATATCCTGGAATCCGTCTATCGACGCGTTTCAGTTTCGCGTAGATCTATTGCCCGAAGTTCCTCGAACCAAGCGGCAGGTGTTATCGGCGATAGCTAAACTCTTCGATCCTCTCGGGTGGGCTTCCCCCACCGTTATATTCGCGAAAATGTTCATGCAAACGCTATGGACTCTTAGTTTAAACTGGGACGATGTCTTGCCGCCGGACGAGCGTAACCACTGGGAAACCATCTACCATTCATTCATCAATCCAAATCAAATAACCATTGACCGTTGGACCGGACAAACATCCGACTGCGCACGCTGCGAACTTCACGGATTCGCCGACGCGTCCACCAAAGCTTACGCGGCTTGCGTATATTTGCGCACGGCTTTGCCATCCGGCGAAAGCACCGTCAGATTACTCGCCGGCAAGTCTCGAGTCGCACCGATCAAAACAATTAGCGTGCCACGTTTGGAACTTTCCGCCGCTCTACTTCTAACCCGCCTGATCACGTTCATCCAAAGTTCACTCAATCTGAGTTCGAACCCTTGTTTCTGCTGGACGGATTCCACCGTCACATTAACTTGGATTCGAGCTCACCCATCAAAATGGAAGACCTTCGTGGCGAATCGCGTTTCAGAGATTCAAACTCTTCTCCCTCACGCAAATTGGCGTCACGTGTCAACCAACGACAACCCCGCTGATTGCGCGTCGCGAGGCCTTCTCGGCTCGGAGCTCCCGTCTTTCGACCTTTGGTGGCACGGTCCCGCCTGGCTCCGCCGCGACCCTATCGAGTGGCCCGCGACGAGCGATCAGCTCTCTACCGAAGCAGATACGGACGCGCGTTGCGCGAACGTACACATCGCACACGCCGATGAATCGTGGGGTTTGGCTACTCGTTTCTCGAGTTGGGCTAAACTCGTGCGAGTTACGGCTTATGTCTTTCGCTTCGTGACGCGCTGTAGGCCGAAACAGGAATCGAAGCGCCTTACAGGACATACTCTTGTGTCGCTCTCCGCGAACGAGTGCCATTATGCCAGAA